GGGGTGGAGGGTGGGTTTGCGATATTTAACAAATATTTGCTGAAGGCAAAGTGAATATTGGGGAATAATAACTGAAACGAAATTGAGGTTATTATTCTCGATATGCACTTAGTCTGAGGTAAATAATTGTTTTAGTATAAATACGCAGGTGATTCTTTTAAAAAAAAGGAGAAAAAAAGATAAAAGCCACATTTTTTTTCCAGTAACAGCAACAAAGCAGCTGGCCACCATTTTGGATTATCACTGGAAGTGATTATTGTGTGATAATCTGAGTTTCTCGACCAATCAGCCTGCGAGATTTTCAATAATCAACTGTGTATTTATATTAAACATGTATATTAGAGAGTTTTGGAGACACAGTCGTTGGCGCCAGGCTTTGGTGTGGAAGGTCTCGGGTTCGATATCCCTGACTCATACTAAAATTGAGTTGTCAAAACCTGGCTACATTCGAGATTGTGAATCCCTCATGACTCGGATGACTACGTTGAATGTCGGTCCTCCCTTCTCAATAAAATGGGATGTAAAAGAACCACAGAGAACGTAACAAATTCCTGCTCGTGACCACTCTCAGTGCCAGCAAATGAGGCCGGATTGTAGTATACTACCAAAGCCACTGGTAAATGAGGTTCAAAAAAGAGTATCACAACCAGTAAGTCCAACCACTGAATATGCGAGAGCTGGTAATACAGAAAGAATACAGAATTGAAAAGAATATGTCATTTTGTGATTGTGTGACTGATTATATTTGCGTTGACTTCATAAAAAATATTGCTGTTGTCCTGCGTTGCATATTCCCCTAACATTGGCATAGCTTAAAAATAGAACTAGCATTTCACCCACCTCCCAAAGACATCCTCTTATGACCTTTCTCCTTGGAGTGATATTCAGCACGGATAAAACATGTCGAAGTAACCGACTGAAAATGGTCCAAAAAATCTCCAAGCTGCTTTTCCTCGCCAACAAAATACCCAAAACAATGTCCTTCTTTAATATAAAAGTCGTTTAAATTCTCATTTAGATAATTAATTTCTTGGCTCGAAGAGAACAAACCGTTGTTTTGTTCCGCCATTTTGAATTAGAACACAGGGAACCCATGCGCTGCTTTTGTCAGGGACTATCATTTGTACTGGGTTGCCTGTGGCAATCAAGTAAAAAAAGGCGTTGAGTGTCTGCGTAGACTTCCGCAAAAAATGTGCAATAGTACTCCAATAGTACGGTACTACCCAAGAACCCCAAGAGTTTTTTGCGCATATATGACTCAGAGATATCAAGAGACATAAAACAGCTATCTTATTATGATTAAGATGTTAATGCAAGTAGACTGCGAGCTAAGTCCCTCTATTTCCCTTGGTCACTAGAGACGAAACGAAGAGACTGTGGAAGAGTCTACTCCCCCAGGGACTTTTGACTCGTAACCAAACTTCCTCGACCAATCGACACGGACAGACAGACGGACCAAGGGAAATAAAGGGACTTAGCTCGCAGTCTATAATGCAAGTATCAGACTGGATTCTTAAAAAGGCAGGATCGTAACCAGACCCAATCATTTACCAAGGCAAGTGGCGCAAACGCGGGGGTAACTAGCGTAGTTTAGCTGTAGCTGTAGTTTTGATGGTTAAATGAGAGTTAAATCAGGTTAAGGGATATTTTTATGGATACTCCTAAATCTGGTAGAGGTACACGCTCCCCCATCAAATTAAGCGATAATCCTAAATCTGGTAAGGGATACTCCTAAATCAGGTGAAGGGATACTCCTAAATCAGGTGAAGGGATACTCCTAAATCAGGTGAATGGATACTCCTAAATCAGGTGAAGGGATACTCCTAAATCAGGTGAATGGATACTCTTAAATCAGGTGAATGAAGCAAGGGCGGATCCAGCCAAAATTTTAGGCGGGGGGCTAATTGAGTTTCTTCCGCAACACAACGGAAAACAATATAAAAAAGCATCGTTTTTTTCTGCTGAAGGGGGCTTCAGCCCCCCTTTGCCCCCCCCC